AGAGCGAGAGAGAGAAAGAAAGAGAAAAGTGGTAGGAAGCGATCAAACCACCGCCGAAGCCAGGTCGAGCGTCCATTCGCGACGCAGCCGGCCATGCACAAGCTTAAACGTGCTCAGCGCGCCCTTCTCCTGCACCACCAGCACCGACGTCGCAAACGTCACGCCGCCCGCGCTGCTACCGCGCGAGTACGTGCTGAGCGCCGGCGACGGCAGTCCGCCCCCGCCCATCACCGCACCGCCGTGCAGCGACAGCCCCAGCCCTCCACCCATCGCCGGCGAGTTCGCCACGGATCCCACCGGCAGGATGTTGAGCTCCACGCGGAAGCGCAGCGGCTTGGCCGCCGTCATGACGCCGTTCGACTCGCGGTACTCGCTCATGCTGCACCGCAGCGTCGTATGCTGCACGTCCGACGACTCGTCCATGGCCACGCGCACGCCGTAGCTCTGCAGCCGACGCACCACCTCGTTGAGCGTCTCGGAAAAGTTGTCCGTCGACATGAGCGTAAACGTGGCCGGCTTCCAGTTGAACAGCCCGGCGAACCAGCTGTCCTTCTTGCCCGGCGCAGCACCGCCAGACACGGGCGCCAGCGTGGCCACCGCTGCAGTCACGGGCGTCGTAGGCGGCGAGATGGCGCCCATCCCACCACCAACGCCGCCCGCGCCCATGTCGAGCCCCAGTCCAAGGTTCTTGGGCGCGCGCGACGACGACGAAGAGCCGGCGCCCGGACGCGCGCTCGATCCAGCAGGCGGCGCAAAGATGCTCGCCAGCGCAGGTGGCGCTGCCGTCTGCTCGTACGCGATGGATCGGATCGTGTTGGCATCGTGCTGCGTCGCCTGCTTGTCGCCACCACCGCGTCGCAACCCGAGCAGCGAGCGCTTGCGACCGAGCCCAGTACTGCCCGTGCTGATGTTGCTGAATACGCTCGTCGGCCTCGACGTGCCGCCGGAGCTGCTCGCCTCGGTGGCAGAGCGCGCACTGCGCACCGAGTTCCTCGCGCTCGCATTGGAGCTCGCCACGGTGCTGGCGATGCTCGTCCGCGCGCTCCCCTTGTCCGTAAGCGAGAGCGGCGCAATGAGTTCAGCCGGACTCAGCGGCGTCATGGGCGTCGAGGGCGTGTAGCTCTGCTGGTGCGAAGACGCCTGCGAGACCGAGCGCATGCTCTCGCCCTCGCTCACGTCGTCTTCGGCATCCTCAAACTGGTTCATCTCGGAGCCCCTCGCGCCAGCCGCTCGGCCACTCGTCGAAGGTGCCGACGAGGCCGCCGCTGGGGCCGCCGGCTGCTGCTGCAAAGCCATCGACTTTTTCAGCTGCTCGATCTTGCTCTGAAGCGCATCCGGCTTCTCGCCCGTGGCGCGGATCGAGGCGAGCTCGTCGGCGATCTCCTGGAAGAACTTCTGCATGGTCGCGTCGCCCACCTGCGGCACCTGGATCGACGGTGCGGCGTGCGTGGTGTGTGCACGTGCCGTCGACGGTCGCTGCAGCACGGGCTGAGCCGCAGGCTGGGGCGCCGCTGGAGCCGCAGCAGCAGCAGCGCCAAACGTAGCCTTGGTCGGCGAGACGGGTCGCGACGACGCACGGCCAGGCAACGCCAGAGGCGGCATCATCTCGGAGCCCGAGCCGCGGTTGGCACGCGATCGCGCCGCGGCTGCCGACGAGCTGGAGGACGACGACGACGTCGACGCAGCCGCTCCATGTGCCGACGCAGGCGCATCGTACAGGTTGGCGAGCGCGATGCGAGCCGAAGGCGGTGCGCTAGCGGGCGCAGCCTTGGTGGGCGAAGTGTTGCGACGCTGCAAGTCGACGTTGGGACGCTCGTTGCGCTGCGGCGATGCGGTCTGCAGCGAGATTTGCGGGAGCACGTAGCTTCCTTCGCTCTCCCTGCGTGGGCTGCCGCTCGGCCGGGCGGTCTGCGCGGGCAAGGGAGCCTGGAGCTTGGAGGGAGAGGCAAAGGGAGCCTTGAGGCTGGTGGCAGGCGAATCCAGAGGCGAGGGTCGCAAGCGAGGCGATGGGTTGGCCGGTCGTACGTGGGGCGATGCCACCTTGGTGGGAGTCACGTCGGTAGTACGAACGGGGACGGTGTTGTACGCCGAGCCCTTTTCCGGCGTGCTGTGCCTGCGCTCCATGTCGAAGCTCTCGAGCCTGGGCGAAGAGGGCGCTGATGTAGCACCGGGTCCCTCGCCGGTTCGGCGGGGCCTGGCGATCTCGAGCGTCTTTGCAGCGCCCGACGAGGCGAGCATGGCATGCGCCGGAACGGCACTGGCGGTAACGATCTGCTCGTTTACAATGTCGTCGTCCATGTCGTCTTCGTCGTCGGCCGAGTGGTTTTCGCGGTGGGCGACGAGGAGCGTGTAGAAGGTCTTCTGCCAGCTAGGACCAGGGGAGAGAAGCTCTTTGACAATGTCGTCTTCGCTGAGCTCGAACCAGAGCGTCTTGAGGTTGCCGAGGATGTCGAGGTCGATGGTGTCGTGGGTGAGCTGTTCCATGTGGAGGGTTTCGAGCGAGGTGGAGACGGGGTTGTGGGAGGATTCCTTGCCGTTGTTGGTGAACCAGGGGTGTCGCATGATGTCGGCCATCTTGATGCGCTTCTCCGGATCGACCTCGAGCATGCGCCAGATGAGGTCCTTGGAGGCGGGCTCAAGCCACTCGGGCATCATGAACTTGCCGGCCCTGACCTTGCCGAGCAGCTGCTGGATGTTGGGGTCGTCGAAGGGGAGGCGGCCGCAGAGGAGGGCAAAGAGGATGATGCCGCAGCTCCAGATGTCGCTGGCGGTGCCCTTGTATCGCTTTCCGCTGACGATCTCGGGGCTGGCGTAGTGCGGGGAGCCGCAGCTGGTCTCGAGCATCTTTTCGGTGGGCTGGAGAGCGGCCATGCCAAAGTCGGCGACCTTTACGATCTTTTTGGTCTCGTCGAGCAGCAGATTCTCGGGCTTCAAGTCGCGATGGCAGATGTTGAAGCGGTGGCAGTAGTCCATGCCAAAGATGATCTGGCGGAAGTATGCGCGTGCGTCGCGTGGGACGAGCTTGCCCTGGGCGACGAGGTGGTCGAAGAGTTCTCCGCCGGCGACGTACTCCATGATGAGGAAGAGGTCCTTGGAAGTTTCGTAGACGTCCCAGAGGCCGAGGAGGTTGGGATGTTCGATGAGCTTCATGATGACGATCTCCCTCTCGATGCCGAGGATCATCTTGTTTGCCTTGACGTCTGCATCGCGCAAGCTCATTCGACTTGCGTTGATGAGAGTCCTGGGGATGATTTTGACCGCCGCTCGTTGGCCTGTCTGGTCGTGGATGGCGAGGCGGACGCGGCCGGAGGCGCCCTGTCCGATGAGCTTGTCGAGACGCCAGTGGCCGATGTTCTTTGGGTCGTTGTGATGGCGCTTCTTCTCCCTCTCCAGCCTCGATGTGGGCTTGGGGCGTTCGGCGGCGGGAGCTGGGGCAGCATGCTGAGGCTGTCTGCGGTCGACGGCGGGGACGGGCTGCTGACGTTGGGAGGCGTGGTGGCTGGAGCCTGCGTGGTGAGAAGGGCGGTAGTTTTCGGAGCCAGTGGCACGGGTTGAGACGACGTTGGCGCCTGCTTTGCGGTTGGCCAGGGCGACGTAGGCCTCGGCTGCGGTGGGACGACGGTTCTGGGCGTCGGTGGGTTGCAAGGGCGCGCCCTTGAAGGGAGGGATGGCCTGGATGACGGGGCGCTGTGTCGACATGATGGGCGTGGATCAATCGCACGGCTCAGCGTGTGTGAAGCGCGGGCGTTGCGAAGGATCTCTGCCGGTCGAGCGTTTGGTTTTTGTGGATAGCTGGTGTGACTCTGGCTGGTATGAGTGCGGGCGATGCTAGATGATGATGCTGTAGAGCTGTAGAGAAGGTTGCTGCGGAGAAGAAGATGTGAAAATGAGCGTGATGTTGAGGAGGAGAACGAGAAAGGGAAGGGGGGATTCGAAGCCGGCGCGGAGAGGAGGGGTTAGGATGAAGGGAGTAAGAGATAGGAAAGGAAGAGTGGGGAATGGGCGGCTGGTGTTGCTGGTGACGAGCAAGGGTTGCGAAGCGGCTCTGGGCAGCGAGGAGGGCAGCGAGGAAGGGGGAGGAGAGACAAACACAGAGCAGACGGACGGCCCTTGGCTGGCCATGCTGTGCCAAAGCGATGGGCTAGGCGATGAGGGGGGCAGTCCGGGTCAGCAGAGGCAGAGCGACCAGCCGACGCAAGCCGACGCGGGATTGATCTCAGCCGCTCCTGTCCAGAGGCCGAGAGGCTGACGAGGGGGGGCCAGCCTGCGTCTGCGTTAGTTGGCGAGCGGCGGTTTGGCGGTGCAGAGCTGACACCTCCTTCGTCAAGTGAGCCGCGGCGAGAGGCACAGCAGAGGCACAGCAGAGGCAAAGGTCCGGCAGAACAACACGAATGGGAGCGGAGATCCAAGCGACGACGATCAACCGACGCAGCCTGGGGAGGAGCAGCCTAGGAGGAGGAGGAGCATCAAAACAAAACACAGGCACTCGCTCGCCCAACACTGCCACCGAGGCGGGGCGGAGTTGAAGGCAAAGCGATCGACGGGCGGGTGTGGTTGCATTGCCTCGTTCGTTTCTGCACCGTGCCAGCCCCTCAGCCTCCAAGCCAGGGTGGGTGCGACATGGAGAGGCAGGCGTGTGCCTAGCACTCAACGCAACGCAGCGCAATGGAGGCTGACCCGCACTCTGGCGTGTGCTCGGCAGACCAGCTGAACCAGCTGAACCAGCTGAACCAGCTGACCCACAGGCGACGGGCGTCACCAAGCAGAGTGATATGGAGCATCCGACGGGCGCGCATCGTCTGCAGCGCCGCGCCAAACCGTATTCGCACACTGCAGTCCGACGCGGGAGAGACGGACGGACATGACCTGGCGGTTGGACGCTGCCACAGTCCAGCCCAGCGCTACACTACTGCAGGCCGTCACCACCATGTCGCCACTGTGACCCGGACGAGGTGGGATGGGTACAGCCGCACCACTGCAGCGGCACGCAGCCAGCAGCCAGCAGCCAGCGGCGGGCGAGTCGAGCACGAGGCATGGGCAGGCGATGCATCAGCTTCGGCCATGCCTCTTCTGCCCGCGATCCTTGGCAGTTGGTCCTCGCTGCCGCTTGCTGCTGCTTGCTGCGCGCGGTTGGCATGTGCAGCCGACCGGCGTCAGATTCTGCAGCGGCGCGTCGAAAAGGCCGCGACTGGATTTGCAAAATTGACGGGTGTTGGTCTCGCCTCGCCTCGCCTCGCCTGCCCGGCTCGCTGCACGCTGCGCAAAGTGCGAATAAACAAGCTATGCAGCTCGCAGCGCCTCTCCAACTCCGAGAGCGGAGGTCAGACCGAGCCCGGCATGGCTCGCTCGATCCCATTCCATCGCATCCATCGCATCCTGACGCCTTTTCGCTCCAAGTCGATCTTGGGATCCTGGCATCTTGCGGCTGGCATCTTGCGGCTGACATCTTGCGGCTCGTGCGCGATGATCGCACAACACATGGCGCCAAACCAAACCAACGGCATCTGGAGGTTGCACTAGCCAAAGCCTTCTTCCGTCGAACCTTCTGCCCGGGCGCAAACACGTTCATCGAGCCATTTGCAAAGTTGCACCACTCGGACACCGACGTCCCAACGAGCGCGGGTCGCAGTCAGCGCAATGACATGCTCTGTGGAATGCCAGCCTCGACGCGCGGGTTGGGGCGGTCTCGACCGGCGACGCGCTCGCCTCGGTCGAGCAGCCAAGCCTTGCAGCTCCGCCAACGCACGCTCGCCGAGGCTGCACTTGAGCCCGAGGGCCCTGCGCATTTTTTCAGGCACAATCGGCTCTGTTTCACCCGATCATCGCATCTCGATCGCCGATCTGTGCATGGGAGTGTTGGTTGCGTCGTTGGGCGCGTGACGCGTTTGGATTCGCTGCCGAGCGTTGGTTGGCGCCTCCATCTTCTCGAGCACCATCCGTCGTCACCATGAGCGCCACCGCCGACGACGTCAAGGCGAGGCTCAGCCAGCTGCGCGCGGACAAAGCGCTGCTGCAGGCTCAGCTCGAGTCGCTCCGTCGTATCCCAGACGCCCCTCCGGAACCACGCGACACGCTCGATGCAGAAAACGACGAGCTGGGCCACCAGCTGCGTGCGCTCGAGGAAAAGGCCATCCTCTACCGCTCCGCCGCATGGACGTGCTTTGAAATCGACCTCGATGTGGGCAGACGTGCCCGCCTCGCCCGGCGCAACGAGTCCGCCACCGCCGCAGCCGACAAGGACGCCGACCTCGCGCTCGGCATCCGTCTAGACACCTTCTGGCGCGGCCGCTTCTACGAGCCCTACTACCTCGTCTTGGCCCGCCCAAGCCAGATGCTCGAATCGCTCCCCCAGCTCCAGGGCACCACGGGTGCGGATGCCGAGCCGTCGTCGCTCGACGGCCTCCGCCTCATCAGGCATACGGTGCCGCATTTCGTGCCGCTGCTCAAGCTCGTCGAAAAGTACCTCCCCAGCGTGCTCGGCGGCGAGCTGTCCGGTGGCGCTCCCAGTGCCGCCAGAGACAACGAGGCGGGAGGCCTGACCATGCTTGCGCAGTTCAGCGACTTGCCCGGAGTGCACGCGTTCCTGTCCGACTTGCACTGCCATCTGCAGGCATACGTGTCCCGACGACAGCAGGCCATGGCGCTACGCCAGCTCAAACTACCTACTCCAAACGCAAACGCGAGTGCACTCGAGGCGTTGGGCACCGAAGCGTTCGACATGGTCAAGATCACCTGGCATGTCCCTTCGGCATCTGCCGAGGCGGCCGAGGATGACGAGGACGAGGTGGCGGCGAATCCGACAGCAGTGGCGGTGCAGGCGGTAGCCAAGCGCAAGCGCGAGATGCCACAGGACGAGCCGATGCACCAGCTCGAGGTGGTCGTGCGCTACGCCGATCTGCAGAGCGACAGGCTTGTCGACGACACACGCCCCACGGGACTCTTCAGCATGACGGGCTCGGTGGACGAAGAACAGGACGATTTCGAAGGGCTGAGGAGGCCATACGGACAGGTGCGTGTGCACATGCTCGAGTACGCGCCCGAACTCGACACGCGCCAACGCCGCACACCAGGCATCTCGCGTGCCGACCTGGGTGCGCTCCGACCCGAGACGGTGCGCAGGCAGGATCTGGAGCTGCTGTATGCGCAGGCGCACGATGGCGAGGCCCTCGATATGGACGACGCTTTCCAACGCGTAGCGCAGCGCGTCTGGTCGCAGCGTGCAAAGTCTTCAGTGCGTTGATCCGGCCCCTCCCCCTCCTCCCCCCTGCGAACGCGCTTGCATGTACTAGTAGGTCTGAATTCATATACCCCCCTTTGCTTGCTGTGAACAGGTCGAGTGGCAGCGCAACGTGTGGACGTGGGGAAGTCGTCGTCGACGCAGACTGCTGAAGCCCGAGATTGGTAAGCAGATGCAGATCGGAACGCAGGATCAGGAGAGAGACGCTGAATCGGCATGGCTCTAGATCCGGCATTGTACAGGAAGGAGGCACCGAACTTTCGCGAGCTCGCGCGCAAGCACCCGACGTTCGCCGAGATGTAAGTGCGAGCCCTGCGCGGATCCTGGTGAGACATGCTAACGATCAGCATGGCGCACAGTGTGATCGACGATGGAGGCTACGAAGCCAAGGTTGACTTTCAAGATGCGCATGCGCTGAGGTGAGTGCGCCCAGCAGAGCGTGTGTCCGTGGCACGAGGTGCTGACGTCGGAATACGAGCCAGATGCCTGGCAGAAACGCTGCTGCTGCACGACTTTGGCGTGCAAGCAACGCTGTCGCCCTCGAATCTTTGTCCCACCGTAAGTAAGCCCTCGCCAACGTTCTAAACGCAAAAGCAGTGTGCTGACGTCTTTGTTCGAACAGATTCCGAATCGGTGAGTTTGTGTTGAAGAGTGTACGTGCGGTGTGCAACTGCGCAACTGACGATCTTGCCCACAGGCTGGCGTATATTGCGCTGATCCACGAGATGCTGTGCTGGACTCTGCCGACGTGGCATCTTGTGCGTCACATGCAGGGCTCCACTTCGTCGAGCGATGCGGTGGTGGGGTTGGATATCGGGACAGGAGCGTCGGCCATCTATCCTGTGCTTGGAACGCGCTGCTTCCCCCATTGGCGATTTGTCGCCACCGATACGGACGAAGCGAGCCTGCAGTATGCAAGTACGCACATTGTGGATCGTGCCAGCAACGCGCTCAGCGACCGCATTGCACTGCTGCACTCCGATGGAGGCGCTTTTGTACCCAGCGCAGAGGGGTGCAAGCAGGTAGGTGGCAAGTACGAGGCGCAAGAGGTGCACTTTACGATGTGCAATCCGCCCTTCTACTCGAGCGCGCACGACATGCAGCGATCGGCAAGCTTCAAGAGCCAACCTCCCAGTGCGGTAAGTTGATCCCCCTCTGCCCCTCTTGGAGAAGGAAAAGAAGGCTGACAGGTGGGAGTGGGCTTAGGTGTGCCACGGTACCGCGTCCGAGATGGTGGTGGAAGGAGGCGAGGCCGAGTTTGTACGGCGCATGCTGCGCGAGAGTGCGGCGCAGGCAGGTGTGGTGTGGTGGACGTGCATGTTGGGCAAGCTGTCGAGTGTGGTGGAGCTGGCAGCCGAGCTCAAGGCCATGGCAAAGAGCGGCGACGTGGGTGGATGGGGTATGCACGAGCTGCCGACAGGACGAGGGAGGACCAAGCGCTGGGTGGTCATGTGGTCCAGGACTCCAATGCGACTGCCAGATGTAAGTATTCCAACCACACACACGATCGTGGACACATGCTGATTGCAATGCACAGTCTCTGGCAAGGGAGTCTCTTCCCTCTGCGGTGCGAGATGTACCCGTGGCAACGGAAAGGAGGAGCAAAGCTTTCGCACTCGGACCCACATGGACGCGCAGGGAGGTGCAGCACGTCGCCCTCGACATCCTCGGCGCGCTGAAGGGATGCCATGTCTACGCCTCGGACTGCGACGACTCTGCGCGACTGGCTGGAACCTTCGAGGTGGTGGTTACGAGCGAGTGCTGGAGCCGCCGCGCCCGACGTGCCAAGCTGCAGACTCACCCAGCAGCCCGCACGCAAGAGGCAGAGGGTCAAAGCGGGATCATGCTCGCGGCTCGAATCACAGTCGGCGAAGCTCAAGATGCGGGGATCCAGGTGCGCGTGCACTGGACATACGGCCTGGACGCGGCCAAATTCGAGTCGTTCGCCATGTTTCTGATCGCTGCGATCGAGCGCAAGGTAGAAGAGATGCGAAGAAGCAATTGAAATCGCATTCACGATGGCGATGCGGCGGCTGCGAGACGCGTGGCGAAACGGCCGATCTTCTGAGCGCGAGTTGAGAGTGGGAGGAAATACAGTAATGATGGATTTGTGGGGATGGCGATTCCACGTAATTTCGAGCAGCCGGCTGTTGCCAATGGCCGATGCCAAACTGGCCGAGTCGCGGATGCCATTCGTGATTCGTCGTCGAGGCATCCATCCTTGGCTCACTTCCTCATCCACTTCAGGACACGCGACGTCCATGGCCGTCCCAACATGACGCCATCGCCATCCGGTACAGCCGCACCCTTCGACCCGCGCAGCCTCTACTCGTCCAACAACACCAACACCAACTCCACACCCGCCAAGCCACCACAGCCGTCATCGTCCAATGGTTCAGCCTCGGTCAAACGCGAGCAAGCCGCGTCCATAGCTGATGACGCCGGCAGCTCGCCCAGTAGCGGCGGCAAGAAGAAGCCGTCCAAGCGAAGAAAGGTCAACCTGGCGTGCATCTACTGCCGCCGATCGCACATGACCTGTGACGAAGGCAGGCCGTGTCAGCGATGCATCAAGCGCGACATCGGGCATCTGTGCCACGACGAAGCAACGCCAGCAAAGGCAAACGAACCTCACGAAGCGCCCGCTTCGTCTACACCGTCCAAACCCAAATCGTACGCCTCGGCCCCCACAGTAACGCCAGCCACCGAGGCGGCTTCAACGTCTGCTCCCACCTCCTCGGATACGCTTGCAGCAGTATCGGCGCTCGCCCCGACAGACACCGACAACTTCTTCCCCACGCTCGGCGTACAAGCTACTGCACCCGCATCCAGCGCATCCTCCAACTCAGCCAGCGCCGCTGCTTTCAGCGGCGGCTCCGCGGGGCCGTACTCGTCCGTATCGCCCCTGTCATCCCTCAACCAGAACAACGACTTCAACCCAGCAGCCATCTTCAAGCCCCAGGCTCCTGCCGCCACCAGCGTCGGCAGCCTCGCCATGCAGCCCTCCACGTCTTCGGGCGCATCTGGCGACATGGCAACGAACAACATGCTTTCGCTCGCTTCGCTTTTCCAGAATAGCATCAACGGCAGCACTCCCAATCCCAACAGCGTCAGCACAAGCTTGGCCGCGCCAACGCAGAGCGTAGGTGCGCCCGCGCCCAACCAGGACATGTCCGGCCTCGGCGGCGCAGGCTGGCTTGGGCTCGGTGGAGGGCCGGGAGGATACGAGGGTGGCGGAAGTGGCTTTGGCGGCGACTCGGCGGGCGGAAACGAATTCACGCTGCTCAGCGAGTTTCTCGAAAGCCTAGACGGGCCAGGTTTCGGCGCGGGTGCCACACCGGGTATGACCGCAGCCGGCGCATCAGGCTCCGGCTTGACCCCTTCACAGAGCAGACGCAATACCATCTCGGGCCTCGCTCCTTCGAGCGGCGTTGGCGCGTTTGATGGGCTCACCGCGCTTACGCCCATCAACAACAGCGACACCACCGCGCACGCCAGAGCGAGCTTGCCCGCCATGCCCTCGGCCGGTGCGGCGGGTACGTACGACTCGGGTTCAGCGTCCACCAGTGGTGCGGCCGGATTCGGCAACTATGCAACGGGCAACAACTCTGCCAACCAGGCCGAAGCATCCGGCGGCAAGCGCTCGCGCAGATCGTCGTACTCGGCCGCAGCCACGTCTTCGTCGGGCGCAGCGGGGGCAGCATCCACATCCGTCGCTGCATCGGGCTCCTACATCCCATCGCTTCAGGGCGGCAGCACCAAGACGGAGCGATTCTTCCTCACCGCAGCCGACCAGAAGGACGGTACGCGAGACGAGCGACTCGCGCGCGTCATCCAGGCCAAATACGAGGCTGGCCTCCTGCG